GTTGGCAACTAACCCGATACGCAATATATCTAACTTAACGAGAAGATATTCTCGGCTAATATATATATACATATGTATGTATACACCAACCATTTTTCATGTCCAATCATTCAATTAAAAAACCCCCGACCAATAATGCAAACTTGAATGGAATTGGTACCACCTCATGACCTTTTTTATAAAATAGGCGAAAAAAAATCAAATAAAAATTAATCGGTACCACCTTTGGTCCATACTGTTTTTTTAAACCAAACTTTTATTTGATTATATTAAATATTATTAAAAGAACAAGACATATAAGTGTTGAGTTTACAAAGGCAATCCTAGTAATAGTATTTACGTTATACATACACATGTGCAAGGGAAACATTGTTACAACTTTTTACAAAAAAAAAAAAAAAAAAAAAAAAAAAAAAAAAGAAGAAAATGTTTTCTAGCTATTAATATCCAATTTGGATAGTTTAATCGGTAAAATGAAATATAAACGTATATCTGGTCCCGATTTTAAACTTTAAGTTGAAAAAAAAATGTAATTTCAATCATATGATTTGCTTCCATCCTTTCGATTAATCAGAATCTCGGTTCAAAATATTGGATTATCTAAACAAAAATTCTAACTATTAATTAACATATGGAATCTAATTTTTTTTCTTACAAACTATGATTAATTAACAAAAAGTATGTAAATGATGATTAAAAAAATCTCAAATGATATACCTAAAAGTAATGATTAATTGCATCTTATAGGCTGCAAATTGCCATTTGGACTACTAAAGCATTTGAGAAACATAATTGTTTTTCGTTGGGGCGATTGTACACGCAACCAACCCTCTCTTTTGCCCACCACATATACTCCCACCTGGCCCACTTTTCATTGAACGTGAAACTCCTGTCCATATCATATCCCTGCATGCATACGTACACACACACACATATATATATATATATATATATATGTATGCATGCATGCATGCAAGAAAATATGATATAATGGGTCGATTTCTGTCCTAATGGGCATTATTGAAATATAATGGGTCTAGTTATTACATTATGGGCCAACATATTAGCCCATGTTTATCTTTATTAGAATATTTATTTGGGCCGTAAGATATTGAAGCCTTTGATAAATATTCTTGATGCCATTTATTATTGTTATTATTATATTATTGTTATTATCATATTGTTATTATTAAATTACAGGGGTTCAAACAATTAGTTAATGACACTAATTGAGACATCAAGAACATGAAACGTGAAAAAACTAAAAAAAATACATAGAACTATCTTGAAAAATATTAAATAAAAAACATAGATAATTATAGTTTAGTTGAGTATTTTTCTAGACCATAGAAGCGACCATATCCAAAAATAATAATAATATTTATTATATATTTTACAGTCGAGATAAATATTGAATTATTCTCCCGTGGCTCAGAGTAACAGCTGCCTTGTTTTCTGATGCCTAATTGAATTTTGACCTTGCTTTTCAATTACAACTAATCACTAGCTTGATTATTTTTTTTTTATTTGTTCAATTTGTGTTTCCGTATCCAATCAAAACATCAATCTTTTTACGTTTACTTTATTATAAAAGTTTATCATCTGATTATAATTTTTTTTATATTTAAAGTCCAGCATTATACAAATCCAATACAAGAAACACATCATAAGCTTAGAAATTAGAACATGACACTAAAGGATTCGGACAAGCAAAGGCGAGCAGTTCAGGGTATTTAAATTTCAACACAATTAAATCAAAACCTGAATTCTTAAAAAATATGCGAACCCATACGCTTATTTTAAATTCACGAAATCTAATTTTCTGTATCTAAATAATCAATACACGTTTTTATTCCTTTTCTGGTATTCTTTGGGGCTAGCTAGATAGATATCTCGAATCATATTCATCCGTTCAGTCCATTTTTAATAGGTCATTATTATTTAAATAAACTATATATTATACGAGCTGCTTCGTGTTTGTTCTTATAGTATATATATGATTATGTCTAGCGAATCTTGAACCTTGTTTCAATAAACTGGAATTATTAGGAAGAAATATACACTTTCTATATAATCTCTCTCTCGCAAATCAGAGATAAGTTAAGAGATTAATGGTGATCGGAGAATGTAACGACGATCGAATCTGAAGAATCTGGTGAATTTGGAAACAAAATCGAAATTAAATCAAAATCGGAAAGATTTGAGTGAATAAATGGAAAGTCTGCATGTGCATGGGCTACGACCTCAGACTATAAAAGCTCTCGCAGCCCTCACACCGACCGAAAACCCTAGCGGCGAAGAGAGAAAACCCATCACCACCTCTCGACAACAATGGCGGAAGTCGAACAAGAGGTGGCGGCCGGACAGGCCAAGAAGAGGGCATTCAAGAAGTTTTCCTACAGAGGGGTTGATCTGGAGGCTCTCCTCGACATGCCCACCGACCAGCTTGTCAACCTCTTCACTGCCCGTCCTCGCAGAAGGTGGGACATGTTCTCTTTCCTGTTCCTGTTTCCGCCGCTACATTAGAGGGTTTTGGTCTGATTTTGCTACATGGGTACGGTGAAAGTGCAGGTTCAAGAGGGGTTTGACCAGGAAGCCCCTGGCTTTGATCAAGAAACTGCGCAAGGCGGTAACTTTTGCTAATCCCTTTCGGCCGGCATTTAGGTTACAGTGAACTTCACCCTTACACCAGTTTTTGGTTGATGGGTGTGTCAGAAAACGGAAGCAGCGCCAGGGGAGAAGCCAGAGGCCGTAAGAACACACCTCAGGAACATGATCATCGTCCCGGAGATGATCGGGAGCGTGGTGGGTGTGTACAACGGCAAGACCTTCAACCAGTTCGAGATCAAACCCGAGATGATCGGTCATTACCTGGCCGAGTTCTCCATCACCTACAAGCCTATCAAGCACGGCAAGCCCGGCCAGGGAGCCACTCATTCCTCCAGGTTCATCCCTCTCAAGTGAAGAAGACGCCGCTTTCCACTGCTCTCTATATCAATTCTATTTCGAATCTTGTATTTGGATGCTTTGATAATTTATATTTATATTTATATATATTCAATCTCAGAACCTTATATTATTATAAAGCCGTGCTTGCCCTGTTTCAAAAGTTATTCATTTGCTTTCAAAAAAGAACACTAGTAAGGATTTTCATGTTATATATGATCAAATTAAATTTACAATTTTGTGATATTTTAAACATAATTTTAATATATTTTTATTTATTTATATATATATATAATATACATTAATATGGGTCGAACGTCCACTTTGGGATGTAGCCCGAATCAAATATGCCATTTTTCCGTTTGTAAGCCCATTTTGGCCCAATACAAATTTTAGTCCATTAGGGCTTGATGTTTATTTCAGCCCATTGAAATGTTTAGTTCTTTTAAGACCAAACAAAAAAAATTATAATGTAAATTGCACAAATACAACCTCAGCATCTATTAAATTCATTTTTCTATCGTAATTTTCAAGTTTTTTTTATATACAGAAAATAATAGCTTGTAAAATGCCTCTATGATGGCCCTCACGTTTCCTTTTTATATTTCGGAAAAAACGATTAAAATAAATAAAAAAGTCCGCATAGTTACGTAACACTTTGAATTTTGAAACCCAATAAATAAAACACGCGTTAACCGCTGATTCAGTTGAAAAGATTTTGCAAAGTATCGACCGTTGATAAGTGATGGTGACATACGAGATGAATGGAATTATCATATTCTTTGTACAATAATTCCGAATTGGTACGTAAAATCATATATAACCTTTAACTACCTTGTGGTTAATATATATATATATAGGTGTATATGGTATTAAGAAATTATATCTATTGAATTAAATATAAAGAAAAAAACATTGGTCGGAGACATGTCTTTCATTAGGTCCCTTCCTATACGTTTCTTTTTATGATTTTTTGTTATTTCTAAATTCAAATTCAATGTGAGCCTCAATTATTATACCTTTTTTTTTTTTTATAAAATCAACGCCATTTAAGCTTTATATATATTATACGAGTTGCTTTGGGTTTTGTTCTTATAGCATATGATTATGTCTAGAGAATCTTGAACCCTTTTTTTTTAATAAACTAAAATTATAAACACTTTTTTTATATATAATAATTCGACCAAAACATGGTTGACATGTGGTGGTGGACACCCACATAAATGCCAACAAGACTTAATCATTGTCGTGTAAAAAACTATATATATATATATATATATATATGCAGTTTAATAGAATTTATTCAATATTTTTAAAGAGTTATATAATTTGAATTTACTATCCAAAGTTGCGTAAAATAAAAATAACGTGGAGACAGTCCGACACGTAGTTTCAGCGGTCAACTCCACCGATGTCGTCTCGTCCCTTCCGCTCCTCTACGAAAAGTCGTTATTAAATTAATAATTCGATTTATTTTTTAAAAAATTACACAGAAGCTAAAAGCTTCACGTTCTCCTCCGTTGTTTTTCTTTCATGGCCAAACCAGAAAGAAGCAGTTCTTCTCTGGCCATCCTCCTTCAAGTTTCTTCTTGAAGCTGCTGAATAATTTCGCCCGATTTCGAAAATTTTCTCCAAGTAAAAATCGTTTCGTAGTTTCTTCGCTGCTCCCTTCGTTCTGAATCAAATCTGAGGAGGAACAAAAAAAAATGCCGCATTCTTGTCTGAGAATCGTCAGATTCAAAAATCTCAGCCACAGATTTCACCGCCGGATTCTGATTCTCCGGCGATTTGGGCGGTTGCTGTGGAATCGGATCGTTGCTTGCACTCCCGGAAAGTCCCGTCGCTACCTGTTGCTCTCTCGCCCCTCTCCGTCTCCGATTCCGTCTCGTCCGCCTCCGGTAACGTCCGCCTCCGTGGACGGAGCGCTGGTGCACCGCCGCGACGAAAACCACCGGAAATCCGACTCCGATCTGGTATCGCTCAAGATCTGCCTCCTGGGAGATTCACAGATCGGGAAATCCAGCTTTCTGGTTAGTAATTAAGATTCAAATTTTCAAAATATCAAACATTTTCAGCATCAAAACTGCGGGAATTTATTTGAAATTCGCAATACGGAATTTGCAGGCGAAGTATGTCGGCGATGAGAAAGAGGAGAGATCACGAGAGAAAGGAATAAACGTGATGGACAAGACATTATCAATGGGAGGAGCTCGCATTTCGTACAGTATATGGGAATTAGAAGGTAATTAACTATAAATTTAAGCTTAATCTGGTGATTAGTGGTAGGATTAAGCAGTAATTAGTCTGAATTAAGGAAATGATTAACCTTTTTCAGGCGACGAAAACACGAGGGCTCAAATTGCCACGGCTTGCAAAGACTCTGTTGCCATCCTGTTCATGTTCGATCTCACCAGCCGTTGCACGTTAAACAGGTAAACGTGTTTTTTTACGCTCTAAAAATTATTAAAATCAGGATTATTAAGGGGATATAAATCAATTATCTTAATTTTCCTAAATCAATCTCGATATTTCTGCAGTGTGATTAGCTGGTACCAGCAAGCTAGGAAGTGGAATCAAGTAAGAATTTAAACTTAATTACCACTGTAATTTTCATGTTTTTGGATCTTTCATATGCAAAAGTAAAACGTTACAGATGTAAATTTATCCTGTTCATGAACATCTTAATGTTGTCGGAGAGAATCTGAGATTGAACACTCAGTTTGACACTAAATTTCTGACAAACTGTCTTGTTCATGAGCCGATACTGTCGTATATATATATGTTCATACGTACGTATATACGCATTTGATATTTGCAGACGGCGATTCCAGTTATGGTAGGAACTAAATTTGACGAGTTCATCCAGCTCCCTATCGATCTGCAATGGACAATCGCCAGCCAGGTACTTGAAAATTTGATTTCATATCCAAATCCAAAGCATCGAGAATGATTTCTTGAAACTCGAACAAACCCTTTTGAGATATGCATGTTTTTCGGATAACAGCGATCAAATCTGCGTAGACTATGACAGGGATTACCGTTTTTGAAACATTTTCGAAAACATGTAATAGCGTGATCTGATCCATGAAACAGGCTCGAGCGTATGCCAAGGCGTTGAACGGGACGCTGTTCTTCTCGAGCGCGACGTACAACATAAACGTGAACAAGATCTTCAAGTTCGTGACCGCTAAGCTTTTCGACTTGCCATGGACCTTGGAGCGCAATCTCACCATCGGCGAACCTCTCATCGATTTCTAGAACGTTTCCGGAAAATTCGACTGTACTTATTAACGAAGAAATCGGCGGCTGGGATGATCGGCCGGCCGACCGGCCGAATTTGAAGCGAGATGGATAGAGGAGGAGGCGGAGGATTCGCCCGCCTCTCCATTCTTGTCTTAAAAGATATAATATAACACCCGAAGGAAAAAAAAAAACACAGAGAAAGTTTATTTCCGGTATGGTTTATGATTGATAAATTCATTTTCTGAGAAATAAAAAAAAAACATTATCGTAAAAGGTTATGGAATAAAGAGGTTATGTATCATTGAGATTGGACGGATTTTTTTTATTAGGAAATGTGGTTCAAATATATTATATACACAAATAACAAACAAAAATCTTTAATCTCTTTATTATTCAAATATGCTTCTCTATAAAATGAGCAGATGGATCATATAAACCCAAAAATTACCTCTCTCCCCACCAGACAGGAATCGAACACTTAACATCAAAGTGAAGTTACCTCCTACCCAAGTTTGACCACTCGTCCACGATCTGTTGGGTAGAGTTATTAAGTTATTAGTTGGTGTTTCAATATTTTCTTTTTTTGAATGTTTATATAACATGTTGTATAATATTATGTTATAGAAAACATAAATATGTCGCTGTCGCTCTAAACTATTAATCGGGGCTCAGTCGATATGAGCAAAATTCTGTGAGTATAAATGAATAATAGAAGATATTTTTGAACTTGTGATATATATAATTGTCTTTAACTATTTTAGATAAATATTGGATGTTTTTTTATTTTTTTACAGTGGAAACCCATCATACGGCCATTCGGATCAGACTCCACATCGTCACACAACCATCGGTCGAACAATCGGTATCGCCGACAATAAATCTCCTACTCTGCGTAACAACCGACAAGCTACGCAAAGAAGGTAAACCAGTCGAAGTTGACCGGTTGAAGAGAGTTTTCATAGCCCGGTTTTGGGGGTTTGTCATCAACGTGTATTTCATTTTACGAAATATCTCTCACATATAATGAATTCGAATGGAAATTATTATTTTTATTGTTATCTCAATAATTGTTTTTATGGTTTTGTCATTTATGGCGTAGTTCCCCTTTCTCCAAGTTCATTGATACTAATAATCGCATAACTTTTATCTCATCCCCTACATTTATAGCATCTCCTTAATATAAACTATATTTTTCCCAATAGCCAATAAAAAATGTCATACACACACACACACACACATATATATATATATATATATATATAAACTCAATTCTTAATATAAAATTTTTTATGATCAAAACTTGAACGATATTTTATAACATAAAAGAATTTGATAGAAATTCTCAATTGTTAATGTGGTTTTACATTACTTTCATTCTCTTTGCCACTACAAAAAAGAAAAAGGAAAAAAAAAAGAAAATGAAAGGAAAATAAATGTTCACAATGTCGAATTGCCTCGCAACATCAACCGGGCAGATTCAATGAATAAAAATTCTCCCTTAATGCTGGATTTGATAGTTTTCACTTTTTCTATTAATTAACCGTTATAAAAAAAAAGAAAAAAAGAAAAGAGAGCATATTTTTTGTTTTTTTATATAATTTTAATTTTAATTTCTTACGTTGTAATTTTTTTTTCAATTGATTTAGTTGGAATTCTTTTTATCAGATTATTGTGGTATTAGTGTTGATTTTATTTACATTTAATTCTTTAGATATCTAGAATCTTTAGCCTTCACAAGAATAATATATCCACGACTTTGAATATCATTGGTAGGTAAATATGGTTTAAATTAGTGGACGGTTGCTAATTCTTTATTTTGATTAAACTACATTAATTATGTTGATAGTAATGATTTACCTAAAAATAAATTTCTGAAAATGATGCTTAGGTTGGGCCAAATCCCATTCAAGCCTATAAACATCGGTCAAAAACGATTTATTCTATTAATTAAAATGACTCTAACAACTAAATTTTCCCAATAATAAAACACCTATGATCGAATTTGAATTTCCATGATTAATTAGTAGATTGATATTAAATTCAATAATTACTTTTCGGGTTTTTCTGCCGATTCAGCGACTTAATTAAATCCAAACTTAAACTAAGTATCTTTAAATATGCGAAGATTATTTCTTTCTAACACATGATAAAAAATATTTTTATATATTTCATTTTTTTTTTGTAACAATGGATATAAATTTCTAGAATTAGTTTGGTTCACTTGTTTAGAAGTCCATGTTTTGGCTTTTGGTCTCTTTAAACCTGATCAACGCATCCGGACACATGTGGTGACCACATCAAGATTCCCCAATTATTTTTATAATATTATTTTATATATCCGTGAAAAAAATATTAATTGCATTTATACATATATAAACATATGTATAAACCACCATCCACAAATCGATTCTTATATTCATCAAACTCCACATGATGGATACACTCTCTCGGAATTCTCGTGAACAAAAGCATCATCATCATGAACATGAACATGATCATGATGATGATGATGACGATCATCATCAAGAAGAGAGTGGATGGACGACTTACTTGGAAGGTTTCTCAAATCATTACAACGTGAATGGAGATGGAGACTCTTGTTCCGACGTTCTCGGATCCTCTCCCTCTCTCGTCTCCGACGCCGGCACGGGGAGAGCCTTTCAACACGTCGCCGGCGGTGGCTCTCCGGCTGGTTTTCCGGCGAGGTTGAAGTTTCGGAAATTGGCGAGAACCAAAGAGATTTGCGGCGAGGACGAGTCTTTGGAGGACACAGCCAGTTCTCCGGTCAATAGCCCTAAGGTATAATAAAATTATATGACCTAAAATCCAAATACTCCATCGTTGAATTAATTATACTCGGACGAACAAAATAAAAAAGCCGATTCCTCCTTTTAATCTTTTTTTTTGTTCGTATTTTTTATTAATTCATTGGTTTCTGATTATTTATCGCCCGATAGTTGAAATTAGGTTATATATCTTATGTAGGTATTGCTTTTATATATATTATTTGGCAATTATTATTATTATTATTATTATTATTATTATTATTGGAATTACGAATCATATGTGACATTGATGATTGATAATCATGTCGATGAACAGGTTAGTGAGTTTGAGCAGGTCCAGACAACACCTAGAAAACTCCATGAATACATCAGTTCTAGTTTCGTTATGGTAATCTCTCAAGCTCTTCTGACCACACACACACACACATATATATATATATATATGTATGTATGTATGTATAAGTTCTGACTGGTTAATTATATATTCGAAAACCCTAACCATGAAAGGGAAATGGACGCATCCCGGATCAAATCCATGGGGATGGAGAAAGAAACATTAAGAACAATCTCAAAGATGCCAAGAACGATCTGAGGAGTAAAGGACTTTGCTTGGTCCCTATTTCCATGTTGGCTAATTATAATCCTTGACTTCATTAATCGTGTCGGTCCATTAATTAGTGTTTTATATATGTACGTACAAACCCATGTAAATGCATACATACATACATATATATATATACACCTAGACAAATGTGTACACACATATATGTTATTTATCTCCATATATGTTTATATATACATATATGTGTCTTGTGGATGTATGTACATGCAGTGTCTATGTTGAGTAGAAATATGAATAAATACTTGTGAGAGCTTTGTCCTAGCGATTTCCATAAAAGGTTCCGATTCTTTTCACATCAAACATATATATATATATATATATATATATATATATATATATCTATATATGTATGTATGTATGTATGTATGTATGTATGTATGTATGTATGTATGTATTAACTAACATGTGTTAGTTATGATTTTCATTTTTATAATGTCCAACGGCTAACCGTTTACACACACACACACACACACACACACATATATATATATATATATATAAATTTTTGTCCAACCGCAATTACAGTTTCAGTCGGTGTGATACAAGATGTAATTATGACAGCGTTATTGGAACATAAACATAATTAATGAGCATCTATATGACCGTGGCGTGATCGAAATCAATCTTTGTATACATAATCCACTGGTCTACCATAATGTTACAATGTCAATGTCCACCTAATTATACACATTTTCTACGAAATAATTTCAATAATTAGACAGAGTTAGCGTATAATTTAGTGGTAGATCATACACAAATCAACGTATAAGCTTTAGCCGTTCCATCTCTAAAGCACAATAAGCTTCTGGAATATATATATATATACTTATTTATTATAATTATTATATATCGTTATAATTATTTTAGCTAAAGATAATGAGAATCGTAACCAACTCAAATTATCAATACACACAGATGTATATACAGTTATACACACATGTATGCATAGTGTTTTTGTTATGCAATTTTATATATGTGCGTGCAAATACATACATACATTCATTCATTGGGAGCCTAAGGACATGAAGACTTTCTCTCTTTTGCGTTATATATATATATACATATATATATATATATATATGTATGTATATATATATATTGTTATCAAACTTATATCATCGCCCCCTTCAAATTTGACTAAGGGCCGGGGGTCAAAGATTAGATTAAAGGAGTTATTAATTTTCTTACATCCGTTTACCGAACCCATTTGGGATCGTGTTAGGTGATCAATCAAGTCTCATTGAATAATTCTTTCCTATTTTGTATTGTAGATTACAGGAAAAAAATAAATAAATTATAAACCGTTATATAAAATTCATCATATGTATTTCTATTAAACAGGAAATATTCCCCGGATATTAACATATATTATCCTCTGATCTTATTAACATATATTATCCTCTCATTTCCATAATTAAACTTTTATTCTCTTAACAATTTCATAACGTTAAAAACTAACTAGACATGGGCACAAAATCATCGGATACAAGTGTGTGTATATATATATATATGTATATATCCATTTGGAATGAAGAAAACAATCAACTTGAACACTTGAATTGTTATCGTTATCTATGGTCTTAAAATGTGGTGGATGAAGTGTCTCATCAACTCAATTATGATTAACGACATTGTTAATCACCGCTTGAATTACATTTGTCTTTTTTGGTTTTCACTCGATTTTTGAGTAAGGGTGTCAATGTAGAGATAATGACATTATTTTTTGACACATTCATTGACAACATTTTTTTTATTTTGTAATATGTTGCCAAAATTATTTGAAAGATGGATATAAAACAAAAGTAGTAAATAAATCATCACAAAATAATTAAATATTCGTAATAAATTTAGAGATTACAAATCAGTTATTGAGAAGCATATTATTAAGAAATATGGAGAAGATTCGAGAATATTATGTAATATTTAGATTTTATTTTATTTCTGTATTTTATATATTTATATTGATTAAATAAGATATGTTATGATTCTATTTGTTATCTATAAATATTATATTTTTTTTTATATTGAATAATGAGAAATCCAATGATTCTCGACCCTTATCTCAATTATATATGTATTGACCCAAATTTGGATAATTTAACCATTGAAATAGAGACGTAAAGCATCTATATATTCTATCTCGAGTTTGAACCTCAAATTTAAAAAGAGATCGTATATTCTAAATCATATAACTGGTTAACGACTCCGAGATTAGTCACCTTGGTCCAAAAATTTCGGTTAAAAAAAGTATATGACTCGGATACAGTGCATTAGCAAGAAAATACAAAAGGTTATATGGAACAAACCGACAAAATAAACTTTATTTCATCTCTCTTAATGTCAAATCATGTGTCGTGAATTAATCCAACATTGATCAAAACTTTAGTTGTGTTTGGTATTTAGGGTTTTGATAGGACATTTTTACTTAGTTTGCATGGAAATTCTGACCGGGCAGTTTTTTTTTTTAATTAATGAAGTGTTACATATAACAGTAAACATATAAACATATATTATAGAGGTTGGTACATTTAGATAATATAATATGTTTGATTTTTAATGAATATATTACATTTTTTATTACAAGAACGCTTCAAGATCTTTTGCTTCTCCGACCAAATTTCCCTTGTAATGGCAATCATGTTCCATATAGATATTCATTTACGTCATGAACTTGCCAACTGCTTGTTTCTTTATACATCTCTTTTTTTATTTAGGTAAATTCTTTATATAATTTGTGCATTATTTGATGTACTATTTTTCATCAATTTTGCAAATATTCCGCATAGGTTAATATTCCTATATTATGTATTTATGTTAGGGTTCCTAATTATTATATTTAAATATTTTTTATAAAGTACTTTATTACATGTATTCTCTTTATATATATCTATATATATAACAGAAGGGATATAAATTCTTAAAAATCTAGAAAATGCAGATATCCATACCAATTATTCTAAATACACAATGGATTATCCAAAAAAAATCAACTATTTAATGCATATAACGAGCGTTTTCAAAATTCTTTGTTCAAAATTCAATGAGATAATGGGGATGATTCAAAATTATTTTGTGAAACATTTTAAAATTTCCCGGGATTGATTGTGTTCACATTAACAGAATAATAAATAAATAAATAAAGGGGGAGAATATTATTATGCGTGATTGCCGGCTTCAGCTTTGGTCTTTGAGAAAGGAATTTAGTTGGATAATGATGGGACCCACCTCTTCATTAGCCTCGCTAATCTCTTCTAATTACCTTTTAATTAAACCCATGTGCCCAGTTCTAATCCTTGTTTTTATTCTCGAAATCTCCTTCCAATTTTCTTTCCGAATTTAACATCGTCCCTTTTTTTTTATATTTTTTTATTCGTTTTAATTTCCTTTTTGTCACAAAACAAAAATTAATATATTCATAAATTAGATTTTTCAATTAATCTAATGGTCTGTTGTATCCATACAATTGATTTTATTTTATTTTCTTAAGATACCACGATCCAAATTCATATCCCTTGATAATGACAAACTAATTAGTTATACGCCCGTGATCTCACTATACATCTATCCTTTGTACTATACCAATAATATCGGTTTATAATCATTATTTGATTATCGCTTTCACTACTTTATTCTATGCTTGCAATATACATATATATATATATAAATATAATTAATCGACAAACTACATCTAATATTATCACGCAGGGTCATTGAATCGATGGCTCTGTTTTATTTTATAGTCCAGATTCCCCTATATTCATATTATACATACATACATACATACATTTAAGATTATACAAATCGAATTATACATTTAAGATTAAGAAAAATAATTTCTCGAAAATTTTCCAACAAAGATCGGCGCATAACATATACAAATTTACGTTTACCAAAAAATATATATATATATATGCTCTATATTTTGGTGTGGGTGTGTATAGCTAGCTATATACACATTTAATATTGAGCCATTTTATAAATCTGAACAATATTTCTCCTCGTTGGGTCTAATCTTATTGGGCCTAGGCCCATTTTAAAAAGGCCCAAATATAAAAAATGCAGAAGAAATTTTTTTACTTGAAACATGAATATGAATATAAAAATATCAGTCGTCCGTAATAACATTACCAACAAGGCCGAATCTCACGATCCGTACAAGAAAGATGAAAAACCCTGAGAATATCTTCCCCCAAACTTTTCAATCGAAATTATTTAAGGAGAAAAAGTGAAATAAAATATATGAAAATAAAACCAAGCCAAAATAAGGTTTCTTATTAAGATAGGGTACTGGGTATGAGATTTCTCCGGCGAAACATACGGCGGCGCGTGGTTATCACATCCTTGCCTTCGCCACAATAACACTCGCCCCTTCGCCGATTCCGGCTGCGGCTCCCGGCCTCGTCCACGTCTCCTTGAACTGTTCCTCCGTAACTCCTACGTTATCAAAAGTTGCCATTAGGAAGAATATATATATACATGTCTACATATACTTATATATGCAACATAGATATTCACCCCATCGAAAAGAAAGAATATATACATGTCTATATATATACACCTATGTAACGTATATAACATATATATATATGTATGTATATATACCTTTGCCCATGGCGGCAGTGGAGGAGATGCCACCTTGGACGGTCTTGAGATAACGATCGTAGTAATTAGCACCCGACCACTTCTGGTGAGCCAAAGTGTCAACGCCGTTGCTCCTCTCCTCCCTCTGAATCCTCTCGACGTAAGCCAGCATCCCCCTCCTCGCGTAATCCTTCGCGAACGTATCGATCACGAGCGCGTCCGCATGGAATCCGGCCAGCGTTATGAACTGCCACACGAACCCTAGCTTCGCGATCTTCGGTATGAACTCCATCATCTGCTGGTCGCTCATTCCGGACGCGTCCCAGTTGAAGGACGGCGACAGGTTGTACGCCAGCATGATCTCCGGGGCACGTGACTTCACCCCTTGCGCGAACTGGGTGCATTCGTTTAGGTCGGGGCTCGCGGTCTCCATCCAGATCAGGTCAGCGTGCGGTGCGAACGCCCAGCCACGGACCACCGCGGCCATGACCGAGCCTTTGAACCTGTAGAACCCTTCCCGGGTTCTGGCCAAGTCCCAGTCCCAGAAAAGATCCGTCACTCCGAGTCTCGCCGCTAGTTCCCGGCCTTGCTCGTTCGACAAGCAGTTCTCGTACCTGTTCCACAATACATCAGATTTCGAATAATATTGCGCGGTAAACCTTGAAATCATTTAAACGAGACATATACGTACCTAGAGTGGTTCATCCATTCATTCAACCTCCGGTTCTTCTCGTTCTCGTTGAGGTTCGTCCGTTTGATAGCGTCTACGACAGCCTCGGAGAATGTCATGAGCCGGGCGGATGCCAACCACTCGTCCTCGATGGCCTGCAACGTCGGCCCGTTCTTCCCCATGGCCATCCCTTCGGCCAGAACATTAGCCAAGCTCTTCCCCTTGAGCCCCGGATTAGTAACCCCAAGAATGAACTGGTGGTCCCTAGAGTCGACATTGGTCTGGATCAAGGTGGCAGCTACCGCGTCGGTCCGAGCCACGAGCACCGTCTCGGTGCCCATGACGTCAAACTGGAGCCTGGCGGCAACGAGACGGTTGATGTGCTCGGAGACGGCGACGAGAACTTTTCCGGCCATGTGGCCGCATTTCTTGGTGACGGAGGACTGGTCCTCGATGTGGACCCCAGCGGCTCCACGCTCGACGAAGAGCTTGCAGAGCTTGACGGTGGCGGTGGTGCCGCCGAAGCCGG